TCTACAATACTACCCAAGGCCCTACCATTAACTGTATAAGTCCTACCCTTGTTTGTTTTATCAAAGTGCAAAACCTTGCATTTAGCCAAATTAAACTCCATCTGCCACTCCTCAGGCCATTGACCCAATTGATCAATATCTCTTTGTAATCTTAGGTAATGTTCTTCACTGTGCACTATACCACCAATTTTGATGTCATCCGCAAACTTAACTAACCATGTCTCCTGTATTCTCATCCAAAACAAAAAAGTGGACCCAGTACCGATTCCTGTGGAAATTGGCTGGTCACAGGCCTCCAGTCCCAAAAGTCAACCCTCCACCACTACCCTCTGTCTCCTACTGTAAAGCTAATTTTGTATCCAATTAACAATCTCACACTGAATGTCATGTGATCCATATTTACTAATTAGTCTACCATGTGGAACCTTATCAAAGACTTTCCTAAAGTCCAAGTAAACAATATTTACCACTCTGCCCTCATCAATCTTTTGGTTACTTCCTCAAAAAACTCAATCAAGTATGTGAGACATGACTTCCCTCGGGCAAAATCATTCTGACTATCCCTAATCAGTCCTTGCCTCTCCAAATGCATATAAATTTGATCTTTCAGAATCACCTTTAACAACTTAGCCACCACAATGTCAAATTCGTGGTCTACAGTTCTCATGCTTTTTATAGCCTTTCTTAAATAAAGGCACAACATTAGCCACCTTCAGTCCTCCGGCATCTCACCAGTGGTTATAGATGATATAAATATTTCTGCTAGGGCCCTGCAATTTCCTCCCTAATTTCCCAGGATGTTGTGGGATAAATTTGGTCAGGTCCCAGGGATTTATCCACCTTTATGTTTTCCAAGACCTCCAGCTTTTCCTCTTCTGTAATGTGAACTGTTTTCAAAATGTCAATATTTATTTCCCTGACTTCTTTAGCCTCCATTTGTTTCTCCACAGTAAAAACTGACAGAAATATTCATTTAATATCTCCCCCATCTGGCAATGAAGGAAACTAGACCAGATTATAGACAACAAGGTGCAGGGCTGGATGAACACAGCAGGCCAAGCAGCATCATAGGAGCAGAGAGGCTCTGCTCCTATGA